GCTTGTACTGTTCAAGCTGAGGCCCCCCAGTGAAATTTCTAGAGTATGAAGAGGTAAAAGTTCTTGTTACAGTTGAACGTTTCATGTTATTATGTCACTCCCTGATGCGATGATACTGCATGAGAAAAACAAGGAACTCTGCGGGCTAGTTAGTGCTTTCTTGGGAGATGTTCTGGGAAGGAGTTTGGAAAATGCATGGATCCGTTATTGGCTCCTGAATACCATCCCCTACCCCCAAACTCCTTGATGATTCCTCTGAACAGCAGACATGTGACTACAGTTGCTGACTACACACCTCAGGTGCTGTTTCACAGGCATCTAAAACTAAGTGAGTACACAATTGAGCTTCCTGATTATGCAGAATGTTCCAGAGGGGTCGTGTTGCCCAGTGTTGAACTCAATCTCTCTCTCTTATGGATGAACCACAGGCAAGTGATCAACAGTTAATAATAAAACCATATGTTCAGACGCCAAATTGCCAAGGCTAAAATCTCAGATCTATCCATTTGTCATCATTTACCAATTAAAGCACTTGCCATATTTGCCATCTTTGCTTATATATGCATATTTAATTAGTTTCCTAGCAACTTTGTTAGTAATGAAGATTTATGAGTGCATAATGGCTTATTTACCACTGTATTCCCAAGATCAAGTGCAGTGCCTCTCACATGGTAAGCATTATAATGTACCTGGGCAAGTGATAAATCCATGAGCTGGCAGAGTGAGGGCCACTGTGAGTTTAGACAACTGATCCTTGTGCAGTGGACTTGACTATTAAGGAAACTACAATCACATTGATAGATGATTGCTTGATAGGTGCTACAATTATTTCTGAGTTTTTACTAATACAGAGTAGAATAGGCTAATAGGGGCATCTTTGTACACCATTCAAACATTATCCCATTTTGCTTTTTCTTTGGTATAGTGTCAGTAGGATGAAATACTCCAGCCAGGAAATCTAGAGTAATTTCAATGCCTGGTTAGAAACTCTAAAACTTTTGTTACAAGTGATGGGCCCAGTTTGCCACGGCCATTGGCTCTCTGCCTCTAAGGAAGCACTGACCTACAGGGGCCATGGTCACTTCCTTCAAGGATGTGAAGATTTGTGTACAGCATACTGAGAAACTTTTGTCCTTGCTGGATCCAAGAAGGAGAAAAAAAGACCTTAAATTAAAGCAGTAGGCATCTCTTTTGAGAAAGAAATACAGACTTGACTGTAAAGGAAATCACTATTAGATTTGTAATTCAACATCCCTAGAAGGCTTAAATAATGAAGCAGGGAATTATCAGTCATTCTTCTGCATGAAAAAGGGAGCTGAGCCAGATGCATTTTAAGATCTCCCAGAGACTGCCAGGTAAAATAATGATAATGACTATAATCTACTGTCACTTATTAGGTTCCAGGTACTGTGTTAAGTGATTTTCATACACTATTTTATTTAACCCCCAGAGAATGCACATGAATTCACTTTTCTCTGCATTTTTTATAGGATGGGTAGGCTGATGCAAAGAGAGTTTGGGTAATTAACTGGGTTTGTTGTCAGTAACTCAAATGGGATTAGAACTCAGAACAGGTTAAGTTCCTAAAGTCATTGCTCCAGTGTCCAAGCTTCCATCTGTAAAAAGTTTACTGCTGTAATCTAACAAATCCTACGATCAAGTCAACTTGCCCAAATTATGCATATTGGTATGAATATTCATCGCTGTTTCTATATAGGTGGTCAGGTCCATACTCCATTTCCCTTGAAGGATGAGGCCTAGCATCCCTGTGAGCTGTTTCCAAACCTCTCTTTGTCTTTTCCAATGGGAGGAAGAGAGGCTTATCTAAGTGGTCAGCATTGAAAAATCATTGTAGTGACTTCACCAGCGAGTGGGGTGCCTGCTCCCAGAGGCCCTGTCTGTCTATCCACTGCCCCCCTAGGGGTCTTTAGTCAGCCATCTTTACCCAGCTGGCTGAGAGACTTCACATAGGTGCAGGAGACCCTGCCCTGGCCATCTTCACCTCCTGCGGACACGTGTGAGCATGTGGGAACTAGAATCTGCATTACTTGCTTGGAGGGGTTAGAAATGGGTCTTCAGCCACAGGCCTACATCGGCTTCTCCAATCCAGGTTTTAACAAAACCTTGCATTAGAGTTGTGGCACGGTCAGCAATAGCTGTTGTAGGAAAAGTGGTTTTCCATCTCACTGTGGACAACTGTACCTCTGCTTCCTCAAAGTGGAACTCTAGGGAGGCGGGGGTTGTTGGCATGCTGTAGGCATCAAAACCATGCCTTGTCTCCCTAATATTCTTGGAAGATTAATTGTACTTTGGTGCTTAAAGTGGTTGTTAGTTCGCAACTTAAGAAATCACAGAACTCAAGTGTTGGAAACAACATGGAAAGTAGTTCTAGTTCCTCAAGACATGGAGATGTGCAGAAGATCATACCAGTGTGACCTTGACCAAGCTGGGACTGGGTCATGAACTTCCCACCCAGATTGAGGCTACTTTTAAGTATAGGCTCAAGATTTCTGGCCCAATGTCACTTCCCTTTCTTCCTCAGGTCTACAATCTGCAGTCAGTTCTGAGTGTGGAAGCCAAAAGAATCATAAAATGCATTTTTCTCAACACCCTCTTTTTTTTTAAATTTAAATTTTATTTTTATATTCCCCACACAATTACAATCCCCTTATTTTGACCCCAATCCCTCCTTTCCCAGCCCCCCACCTCCCATAGAGTGTCTCTGGTTCATAATTGTTTGTTGATTTTGATATTTTCTTTTTTATAGTTATTCATTTTCCTGGTCCCTTATTTAAGTTTTCTAGATTCCTGCTATGAGTGAGACCATCTGGTATTTTTCTTTTTCTTTCTGGCTTATTTCGCTGAGCCTGATCCCTTCCAGCTCCATCCATGTTGCTGCAATTTGCATGTGTTTATCTTTTTTGATTGCTGAGTAATATTCCATGGTGTATATGGACCACATCTTCTTGATCCAGTCATCTATTTTTGGGCATTTGGGTTGTTTCCAAAGCTTAGCTATTGTAAATAGTGCTGCTATAAACATAGGGGTGCAGGTGCTCTTTGGAATTGATGTTTCTGTGTCCTTTGGGTAAATACCTAGGAGTGGAATTGCTAGATCATATGGAAGCTCTGTGTTTAGTAGGTCCAGAAGTCTCCACACAGTTCTCTGTAGTGATTGGGCCAGTTTGCACTCCCACCAACAGTGCAGGAGAGTTCCTTTTTCTCCACACCCTCGCCAACATTTGTTGTTGCTAGTTTTTTTAATATGTGCCATTCTCACTGGTGTAAGATGGTATCTCATGGTAGTTTTGATTTGCTTTTCCCTGATTACAAGTGATGTTGAACATTTTTTCATATGCCTGTTGGCCATTTGCATTTCCTCTTCAGAGAAGTTTCCTTTTAGCTCGTCTGCCCATTTTTTGACTGAATTATTTTCTTTGTTTTTGTTGAGTCTCATCAGCTCTTTGTAGATTTTTGTGATCAGTCCTTTATCATTAGTGTTGTGTGCAAAGATGTTTTCCCAGTCGGTGGGGTTTCTCTTTGTTTTTGTTATTGTCTCTTTTGCTGTGCAGAAGCTCTTTAATTTGATGTAGTCCCAGCTGTTGATCTTTGCCTTCACTATCACTGCCTTGGGTGATGTGTCTGTAAAGATGTCTTTGATGTGCATATCATGTAGTGTTTCTCCCTTATTTCCTTCTACGTATTTTATGGTTTCAGATCTTATGTCTAGTTCTTTAATCCATTTTGAGTTGGTTTTTGTGCATGGGGTGATGTAGTAGTCAAGCTTCATTCTTTTGCATGTAGGGACCCAGTTTTCCCAGCACCATTTATTGAACAAACTTTCTTTGCTCCAATGCATAGTCTTTGCTCCTTTGTCAAAGATTAGCTGACCATAAATCTGTGGGTTTATTTCTGGATTTTCTATTCGATTGCATTGGTCTGCATGTCTGTTCTTGTTCCAATACCATGCAGTTTTGACGATTATGACTTTGTAGTATAGTTTGAAGTCTGGGCGTGTGATGCCTCCATTGCCTTCTTTTTTTTTCCAGGAGAGCTTTGGCTATTCAGGTCAACACCCTCTTTTTATCAAACAAACATGGTCCTAAGAACTGTGTTGTGTAAATCACAACTTCTTTAATTCTCAAATCCATCTCATAGGTTTTATTATTATTCCCATTTTACAGATGAGAAAACTGAGACACCAAGAGGTTGAATGATTCCCTCAAAGCCATGGAGCTGATCAGCTCTGGAGTCAGGATGTGAACTCAGAGACATGATGATGACAGAATCCCTCAGATCAATGGTTGCACTATTACTTCTTGTGTGTGTGTGTGTGTTTTACAGAATGATGCTTTGATAATCTCAGCTAGAAAATATCTCCATTACTGTGGTTAAATGAAAGCTGACTTTATTCTACTCTTTTCTTATTGATTTGTCAGTTGTTTGCATATCTATATAACTTTGGGGTTACATGTTACTCTCCCACATGCATACAGACTTCACTCACCCACCATCAAACCTCCCAGACAAGTACCCTTTGCCCTCCCTTCCCGTGTCTCCTCCCCCCTCCCATCTTCCCTCCGGTAACCAGTACATTTCCCGCAAAGTCTAAGAAATGTTTTGCTGTGCTTTGCCAGCAGCTGTTCTCTGGTTATTTGTATTCCACAGATAAGTGAAACCGTCCAGTATCTGCCTTTCACTTTCTGACTTGTTTCATTGAGCATCATCACCTTAAAGTGTATCCATTTTGCCCCCAAAGACCATATTTTATCTCTTGTTTAATAGCTGAATAGTATTTCACTGGTCTTGTTTCATGGATTAGGAAATGCGTGCCTAGGGTCAGAAATAGCGTTGTGGTGAGCTGGGGCCAGAGAGAGACTTTGGACCCATGTTCAGAGCTCACTCCTCGCTACCCTACAGCCTTCTTGCATTATTTTCTCCAATGATTCAGTTTTTATTCTTTAAATTTCAAATAGGATTAGCCCCCCAGGAAACTCAAGAACATTTTTCAATGTCTCACCTTTATTTATGTTTTCAGGGAAGGAGAGTAAAAGGAAAGTCAGCAGTCAGGAAAATGAAACACATGGCCCTTGCCTCCGGAACACGGCCAGGCCAAGCTGTAACTTCTTGGCCGTAAATCCCTCCAAACTGTGTTGGTGTTAAAATTAATGGGACACCAGGGTCTGTTCTTAAGCCACAGTGAACTCACCAATCAGACCATGAGAAAATCTCCCTCCCTGTATTTCTGGTGCTGACTCAGGGGGAGATGATTTATTGCTGCTTGCTGCTATACTTCTCCAACACACACACACACACCCCGCCCTTTGCAGCAGGCTTCTTGGCTCCAGCACATGACAGTGTTTTGCACTCCTCATTCTTCATGCTGTGGCCAAATAGAATAGGCACCCTACCTGTGATGGAGAGGGGGGCCAAAAGGCTCCCCCCAGCTTTGCAACTTACTGTGTAACCAAAGCTGAGAATTTCATCACCAGGAACCTGGGTTTCTCACTCATAAATCCAGAAGTACTGCCCGGCAGCCACATCTCTGGGCACTGGGGTGTGAATTCTTGCACTTCCTCGCTTGGCTTTTCCCAAGGGGATGTGCCAACTCTAACCTTCCCATAACCTGTGACCTCCAGCCTAGTCCAACCTGCCTCAGCTCTGGACCTGAGGCCCGGGCCTGATGAGGCCCTGTTTGGCCCAATCACAAAGGCGGTAGGCTGCTGGCACTGAGATAAAGTAATTCCTAGACTCCCCAGGCAGATTATCACAGTTCTGAGGACTGAAAAGAAGTGTACTTCTTCACATTTCTGGGGGCTGGAAGTCCAAAATTGAGATGTTGGTTTCCCCCTGAAGCTCCACGGTGGATCCTTGCTCCCCGCTCCCTGGTTTCCGCTGGTGGCTGCCATCTTCGGAGTCCTCAGCTTGTAGCTGCATCACTTCTGTCTTGGTCTCTGTCGTCACATGGCCTTGTCCTGTGGGTCTTCTCTATGTCTCTGCATCCAAATTTCCCTCCGGTGGGGACACCAGCCACTGGGTTAGGGTCCATCCTGATCAAATATGATCTCACCTTATTATAATTTGATGACGTTTGCAAAGACCCTATTTATTTCCAGATAAGGTCACATTCACGAGCACCAGGGTTAGGGCTTGAGCTTGTCTCTTTTGGGCAATACAGTTCAAGCTGCAATAGATTGAGCTCAGTGCTCCTGGTCCAGTATTTTTCTTGGCCTGGAGGAATGGGAGAGGTGATGCAGAAATGCAAAGCAAACATGTTAAAGGCTATTTTGCAGCCAAAAAGCAAAGCAATCAATAGTTAGGTAACTGATATTTACATTCTACTTCCAATGAGTAGTTTTTTGGGATTTTTTTTTTTAACTTTTGCAAAAAATGTAATGAGATCAATGAGTCAGGTATACCATTCTGTAGATGAAGGGATTTAGGTGCATAGATTTCTTACAGATCTCTCCAACGTGCATTTATGTTTGGAGATTCTGATCAGGAGAGTTGGAATAAAAGAAGAGTTAAGAGCTAAGGGAAAAAAATTGTAAGATGGCATGAGAAAAAGGTTAAAATTCCATGCAATTACAAGATTGCTTGGACTAATGGTAAGAGTGTAGCAAGACCTAGTGACATCAAGGACCCCAATTCTCCCATCTTGAATTCCAACCCTCCACAAAAACCAACACCATTTTGTACCCCAGAGTGATTTATCTCAAGTCAAACAACTAATAAATGGTAAAAACCAGATTTTGATTTATGATTCCTATTTTACCACATTTAATCCTGCAATCCAAACAGAAAATCAATAACAAAACCAGGCAGGATTTGCAGACCTTTGTTTTATGAGATGCTACGCTCAGGTAATTGGATTGGTTTTTGTTAGACGACTCGTCACTTTATAGCCACTGCAATAAACCACGCATCTGCTCTTGATGCAGCTGGATTCTTCTTTATCAGTGGAAGCAGATCCCCAGGGCTGTGTAATTACCCACCAGCCCCGTGAGGTCAAGTGCAGTACTGCTGAAATTGCACTTTTGCTTGCAAAGAGCTTGTGAGGTTTTTGCAACAAGCCTTGTGCTTCTGGGGGTGCTGGTTCTCTGCCATCCCCATCAACATCTCTTGTATAAGAGACCTGAACAGAAAAGGTGAGACATTATCGTTAGGAAGAACTGCTTGCCAAGTTGACTCCAGGTTGATGGCTGGGATGCAGTTCCCTGCACGAAATGATAAGAATGGCTCATTGTGATTTGCAGGAGCGATGCGGTTTATGCGAAACATTTGCTTCTTTTCCCTGAGTCTGGAGCTCTGATATGTGCTAGGCAGAGGGCGCCTGCATGATCATCCTGCAGGAGAAGCCTTCAGTGCTGAATTTCTAATGCACCCCCTGGTAGAGAACATTTCACACGCATGTTGTCACAACCTGTTCCTGGAGAAATCCAGCAGGCCGTGGGGAACTGCAGCAGGGGCTTCTTGGAACCTCGTCCTGACGCCTCTAAACTCTGCCCCATGCCTTCCTTCCCTTTGCCATTTTTCCTTTGTCGCCTGTCACTGTAATAAGTCTCAGCCAGAAGAACAACGATTTGCGGCATCGTGTGAGACTTTACAGCCAATCACAGAACCTGGGGTGGGGGTCTCGGGGCACCCAACACAAAACCCTCCTGCACTTTCTCATACCCATGGGGTTTCTTCTCTTGCCTGGATGCTCTTCCTTTCTGGAGGCTCTTGGAGGACAGGATGGCTCAGGTTGGAACCCCATCACCACCATCAGTTGGTGTCTGACAACGTCTCTCCTTACCTCGTTAATGATGCATCCAGGGCTTGCTTATTATATCTTGTGTTTTGTTTTTTTAGGCTTTAATGCAGGGAATGTTTTTCTGAGAAAAGAGAATTTGTTCTTTGCCTCAGGCTTTAGGTTTGGTTGAGAAATAAACCTACAAACATTTTTGTGAAAAAATTATTTCAGAAACATATAAATATACATATACTTATGTATATGTAATATACATGCATGTGATATATGGGTGTATATATGTATGTGTATACATGTATGTCTATTTTATACTTGTGTACATATGCATGTGCTATATATGCATGTATATTTATATATGCATGCATATATATGTTTGTGTATACACCTGCATGTATATTTTATATGTGGGCATATATACATGTGCATGGGAAATAAAAAGGGGTTGATTTAACTACATGTGCAACATATTTAGTTGCAAGCATGTGCAACTAAATATGCATACATGTACATATATGCATTCATATTTTATGTGTATATGTACACACATAGATGCAGGTCTATTTTATATGTGCACATATATGCATGTCATATATATGTGTGTGCAATGCATGTATATTTTATACATGCATTTATATATATGTGTGTGTATGTGAATATACACTATAATGTTCTCTCTCATCTTGATGTTCATGAGCACCACTAACACCAACACACCTGCTCTATCATCAGCATCCTACTCTCATGGTCACCAATATCACACATGCCTTCTTCACATACAATCTCTAGCACAACTTTCACCAGCTCCATCATCATCACTGGGCATCATGGAGGCTCCTACCATTGTCACAGCCCTTCTGACTGTCTAACGTATAGCCATGACCACCACTGCTCCACTGTCTTGTTGCTGCCTGAACTCCAGCTCCACCATCAGCTGGACCCACCTCTGATCTACAGCACAGTTCACACCACATTGTTACTGCTCAACCAATGAGTCATGCTGAAGTGACTAAGTCTCCACCGCCACCTTTACTAACCAAGTCACCACCATGACAACCACTGAAAGGGTCCAGACACGCTAACAGTTTTTTACTTAATTCTGGAAGAAATCCAGTCTCTTTGTGGTGATCAGAACTAGGCAAATTCTTGTGCCCAATACTAGTAGGAGGAGAAATTAAGAGCTACTAATGGTAACAGGAAGATGAAATTAACAGTTTCTCTTAGAATGGAATCAAGCCCAGCAATGAGCGCAGAGTCCTGTGTTTGGGTGTCAAAGGCGTTGGTCAGCGGCATGTTGAAAATCTCATAGCAGCTGGCAGAGAACTTAAATCAACCTCTTTTTTATTTCCCATGCCTTGTTTGGTTTCATGAAAACTCACATTTGCGAAGCAAGCAGCATGGATGCTATGAAATGGTGTTTTATCCATTTCTGCTCATAATTTCACAAATCCCAATGTGGCAAAAGCAAATATATTCCTGTGTTATGATTAAGGTGGGATAAATGTGGGTGGTAGGAAATGGCTTTATTATTTTGATGTCAGTCCTGAGGGGGAGCCCGAAAATACATTACTTCATATAGTTTGATCTGCATGCAATTTTAGATGTCTTAATACATCTCTAATATTTTGATCTAAAAGACACTTTCATTTGGAGTCATCTGCCTATGTCAAGGGCTTCCAAGTATCTGGAAGACATTGCCATGTATGGTACTCACCAGGAAATCTGATGAGGAGCAAGTTCCTAGAAGAACATTCCTCTGCTCATGAACTGCAGTGACCTGAAGCTTTTCCCTCCACGCAGTCCTCATTTGATTTCCAAGTCAGATGCCCCAATATTCTCAGAACTGGAATCTTCAAGATGCCCTGTTCTGGCAGACAGGATATTTTGAGCTAAAAGAATAGAATCATTTGAGGCAGAGGAAAAACTTCAATCTTTGTCTCTCTTCCCTAATCTAAGAAGAGCTCACCATGTCCTAAGGTTCTTCCCTTTTCTTTACCAGAGAAGCAATCACTACTCCCCTTTTTTTTTATGACTTAAAAGGATATAGTTTTGGGGCCCTGATTCAGTCGAAGGTTTATCGGTAAACGTGTTCTCCCTGTCTCACAATCTCATTTTATTCTCAGGGTCAGGATGAAGTCACCCCTTCTTGTCTGTCATATGAAGTCAACCCCTCTCTCGCTTTGATGTCCCAGGTCCCAAAATGCAGGATAGATATCCCTGGTCAGCTCTATTATCCCTTAAAATGTGAACATGTAAATTCTCCACATGTATATTATTAAAGTTAGGCCATTTCTCTTACTAAGCTGTTTGACATTCATTTGTTCCTCTGTCCAGCCTTAGAAGAACCCAAGTTGGGTGGGAAATATTCTCCTGTGCTCTGACAGCTCCTCCTCACTAGCAATCTGACCTTATTTTGCTATTCTTAGGTAAAAGTATGCTTGTTGGCATGCTATGCGATCCCATTATTTAAAGAGAAGAAAACCTACCATTTCAATTATTCATGTCTTGAGACAAACCCAAGGAGCTATTCAACACTGCAGGTTCAAACAAACAAAAGTGTATTTATTTAGAAGGCCTTCTGGCCACCTCCCTTTCCATTTTAACCCCTCCTGAGGCAGCTTATCATTTGCATTCACATTTCTTGGGCTCTTGGTGATACTGAGGCTGTTTGTGACACTTTGCATTTCCCCCGGAGCCAGTGCTGCACCCTCTGGCACATCTAGATGGGTTGTTTCCAGGGGGGAGAAGAGGAGGAGGGTGGCATAGGGCAGAAAAGAGGAGGAAGGGATTTTCTGAGCCAGCTTAATTCCCATCACTTATTTTCCTCCAGACCCTAGTCTCCACCCTCCCTCAGGATGCCCCAACACCCACTTCTCACCCTACCTGGAACTCAAGCCCAAAGTACAGCGTGGCCTTAACTCTTTCTCAGTCTCTGAGGAAAAACTTCAGCAGATGATGCCAATTTCATCTCACTTTTTAATTTAATTTTATTTTTCTTCTTACTTTTTAAATGCAATATTGATAAGTGCTAGGCCATATGCCCATGATCTTAGGTAATTTTTGCAATACTTGTCTGTAATTATTTCTTATCAACCACTCTTTCCCAGATGTGAAAGGGATGAGTGCTATCAAGGTGCCTTTTGTAATGTTAATAAGTCTACTTTTGGACCAGACCTTAGGCTGGTGGCCAGGAGACCCAACCACATGACTGGGAGGTACCATGCTTTGGCAAATACAATGGAGACCCTCTATGAGAGAGTCTTATACCTCTAGGAAGGAAGACAGCTGGTAGCTTCTAGGTATTTTTGTTATTAATTTAATTCCAAAATTAAAAATGGATTAGGAAGGCCACGAAGGCATTTGATTGCTCTGAACTATTAGAAGTTTCGGGCTGAATGGACTTATCCCAGGTTTTCTTCAAATGAGCAGGATTAAGCTTTTATTTTTATCAATCTGGATGGTTTCCTCACACAGTACAAGTCTTATAACCTCACTGTGATTCATTTCAACTCTCAAAATGTAGGCTGCACACATTTCAGTAGTGAGACTGGGTTGACATTTTGCTAAAGATTACGTGAGACTGGTTTAGAGAACATGCAGAAAACAGAGGTGGCAGCTAATTTGCTTGGGATTTCATGCTTATGGCAAGAAGGGCAAGAAATTTGTCTTCTTTAGCAAACAATATCTTTCTAGAAAAAAAGGAAGTTGTTGATAGAATCCTTGTTTACTCTAAACATATACAAACATAACTTTAGGTGTGTTTTTCTTGCTCATTTCAATGTGGCTTATGGCAAAGAACATGGAAAGAAAGTCAGTGGAGTGTCGGCTTTTCAAGGACATGGCACTTGAAGTTGCATAGATTGAATCACCCAGGCTCTGCTTTTGTGAAGTGGAGGTTGGCACCCCTCCATCAGGTTGTCATGGAATGAGCTGGACACTCTTAAGTGTCTTCCAAGTATCCAAATATCCATTCACCTTTATTTTTTCAGGGCAGAAACACCCAGCTAAATACTCACACTTTCTCAGTCTCTAACATATTTGGGGTGGAAAATAGAACCAAGGTGGAGTTTTACTGTGGGTCTCTGGAGTAGATTTTCACTTCACAGAAGGAGGCAGAAAAAAATCAGTGCATCTCTCCCCACTTCTTTCTGCTTTGAATGTGGAAGTGCTGTCCGGAGCTATGGCAGCCATGTTGCAGGCATGAGAATGAAGCTAAGGATGGCAGAGTTAAAAGACAGCACACTGGTGGGTTCAAATGACACCAATAAAGAGCAAAAATAAAACCAGAAATGACCTACTGATGAAATGGGGGTGGGAGGGAAGCCCTATTTGTATAAGCAGAAGTGAGTCAGAAAGTGAACAACTTATCAGATGGTTTCATTCATCTGTGGAATATAAATCACCAAAAAGTGCACGCTAACACGATACAGCAAAAAAAAAAAAAAAAAAATTAGTGAAAAATTAACTGGTTTCCAGAGGTGACCAGGGGTGGAGGAAGGGGGGAGGAGGGGGTAGAGGTAGAAGGTAGAGGGTAGAGAACACTAGCAGGGCAGGTGTGGTGGAGGGTGAGTGAGGTATGTGCCCATAGAGAAGACTAAAAATGTACTCCCAGAGTTATTAGACATAGAAACAACTAACAAATTTTATTTTAAAAAAGAGTTTTTAAGAGTTCACAGTTCAGCTTGTAAGAGGAGGCAGCTCCAAAAAACAACGGGATTTCTGCTACTGTGGGCATAAATAGGAACGAGTGACTAATATGAAGATTTCAGCTGAGATGTCACTTCGATAACAAGTTTCCCGAATTCCCTGCGTTCCCAACCCCATGTGCACCCCCTGTGTGGCTCCATACCCCTGCCCTGTCCTGATAGCTTGTCATATTGTACTAGAATCTCTTGACACATCTGGCCCTCTTGCTTGACTAAGCTCTGTAAGTTCAGACTCCAGCTACTTACTGTCCCAGAGATGGGGCTGAGACCAGAGCCGTTTTCAGTAAATACATGTTGAGTGAATGATGTAATCTTTTAATCCCTGCAGTGGACTTGTTGGGCCCTGTGCTTTAAGCCTGTAGTAGTTAACATCTCCACTTGCCAGCTCTTGCAGCCCCTGGCTTGATGATGACACTATTTTTTTTTTTTTTGCCTCTGAGCAGCACAGGCTGGAAATACCTGCACCTTCAGAGATCAGCCTCAGCCAGAGACTATGGGACTAAATAGATCAGCTACTTGGGTGGTCTAAGGCCAAGGCTTATGCACAGAGTCCCCCTGGATGCCGCAGTGGGGTTCAGCTCCTAGAGCCCACGGTGGCAGTCCACTTACTCTGTCCCTTTAACTTGCTTCTTCCCTTTTCCTTTTCTCTACAATTTCCCTCCACTTGGTACAATACCAGCAGAATTCTCAAAAAGTAAAGATACATTTCACAAGTCCCAAGGGGAGGATCCTAGAGGTTACCCTGGGAGGTTAAGGGGCAATGCTTTCCCCCAGTTCACCCTCCTGATTCAACACAAGCAGGTACCCATTTGTCTGATAGAATATAAGGTTTCTGCATAGAATTAAATGAGGCAAAATATGTCACTAATGTGAAAATTGAACACTGCTCCATTTACAAAAGAGAGATTAGGGGGAGGAGAGGGTTTTCTGGTATTACTCAGCTATTCAATGGTGGGGCCAGGAAAGAATTCAGCTGCCTCTGGGGACTGCTTCGGGCAGGAAGTCTTACTATGCAGGACGGTATGCATCTGTCATTGAGCTCCCCTAACATGCACATCCCTTCCTCTGGGAAAACATATTAATTTTCCCTTGGGAAGCTACTCCTCTCTCACAGAACTGCAGGTGAATTGTTTTCTGATCTCACCCCCAGCATAGAACAATAGGTGTATCTTACCACTCTGGGACAGGTAATAGCTCCAGATGGGCATTTATATGTAAACCAAGTTTGTGTTCAATCAGAGCTGATTTTGAATCCTTACCAGAAGTCACATTCTACTTGAATGCTGAGGATGAAGACCTAGAATCCTTGGGAGCACCAGGCAAAAGTATTTCTGGGAATGAACAGAGAAATGTAGCAATTGAGACCATTTGGTTTCATTGCTTTGGTCTCTGGATCCAGTCATACTTGAAGATGTCTTAACTTTTTAGGCATACTAATAATCCAAGAAATTTGCTTTGTTTCTCTTGATGCAATTTGAATTGTGTTTCTCTTCCTTTTGATGCAAGGAGACCTAACTATTACATGATGCCTCTTTCCATAGGAAGAATTCTTGAGTATTTGTTTAAGGAGCTTGGACTTTGGGAAGCTGAACATTTAGAATATATTATTTATCTTTGCATCTCATGACATGTCCACTGCCTTCTACTTCATAAGGCCTAATTAAATCTAAATGCCTTGTTTTTTTTAAAATTCAGACCCATCTTATTTTTCATGGTGAGGGAAAACTAGTCCTTGATTCAAATCAAATTTTCTCTTTGGCTTAAAATCTTATGTTGGCACAGTTAAACATTTTTAACTAGAAGGTTATCAGTCCTTGGAATGGTCTGAGGTCAAACATGCCCAGTCCCGGGTCCTGGGTAACACAGACTGGCATTCCCCTGACCTGTAATGAGCCCATCTCTTACCAGTACTCCCCATTTATCTCTACCTAGAGTTTTCTTTCACTTCCTCAGGACCCTTCTGGGGCAGACAGAGATTATTTTTGGCTCGGACCCATCTTGTCAAGCTGACTGCCATCTTCAATTCACAGGCTGGCATACGTGGGGTATCTCTGAACCCTCATGCTCAGTGGGCAGCTATTCTGGGATGTTTGTGCTTGACATTCACAAGGGCTTCCTGGCTGACTCACTCCCCAGTCGAACCCCCATTGTGTTGG